ATGAATGACCGCAACTCTTCCCAGCAAGTCTCCAGGCTCAGGCTTCTGCCACACGGCCCTTAAGTGGACCCTCAGGGCTTCCCAGCAATCCTAGCACATTGCACTAGGCGACTCCCCCTCTCTCCTGGAGAACCTTCTCTTCCCTGAGCCTGAGTCACTCAGCAACCACTTCCCAAGTGTCCCCAAACCTTTCGATCACTGCTGTCGCCCCCTCCGGCACCTCTCCTTCTTACCCCAGTGGGTATTCCCTCCTGCCTCCGCCCAGGTTCGGTCCGTGGCCAAGATGGATTATAACATCTCACCGGTGTTTTTCCCCCTATATTGCCTGGTCATATTTACCCATATGCTGTTAACTCAAAGGAAGGTGCTGTATTTTCTGTAACTGATCTCACCTGTCTCGTGAACATGGTGCTGTTTTTCTATGATTAATCTAATCTTCATCATGAACACTCACCCTAGTAAACAGCCAGAAACTTAAAAATTTCCCGAATAATACATCAGTCTCTTCCGGTTAATATGCAGACATACAAGTTTAATTCTACCAAAACTGGCATAAACAGTTGCTTCCGGGTAAATGTTTCTCCATAAGGGGCTTATGAGACATTCTTAAGGTGGGAGGAAGACCCTGGATCGTGGTGTCTGTGGGTCCACTCTAGTCTCTTCTGCAAGGAGGTGATTAGGTCCCCTGGCTGGACTGTTGTGATCTGCCTCTTGGGATGCCACGGTGGCTCCCATCTCTGGTATCCATGACCCTGACCTTCAGTCCAGTCCAGAGTCACACAATCGTGATGTCTGTTGCTCACCCACCAGACCTCCAGCTCCTCCGCACCTCTCACTGTGGAATGAAAGCATTTCGGAATGCCCTGCTGCTACCCAGGATTCACCCATCCCTCCACTCCCCCTTCCACTGCTGTGCTCCAACCCCCAGTGTGGGCACAGCACTCACCGACACAGCTATCTCAAGATTCCAAATGAGGATCAGCGCTAAAGGCCTTCTACTCGTACTGACCCCTGGAACCACTGAACACGCTCACCTCAACCCCAGAACTTTGGCCAGACAGAGTAGGCCAGAGCATGTATTCTCAGTCTGTCCTCCCTACCTCTGTTGCCCCTTCTTCCCACAGTCCACCAGAGCTGAAAAAGACGGACTCTCCACTTCCTGTTCACTCTCCACGCTCCTGGGAGGCACCAAACCTCGATTCGGCCTTAAGGATGGAAGAAATGTCCTCTCCATCCCACAGAAGAAACTGTCATTCGTGTTTTCAGAGGAAGCTCCTGATATGGAAAGTGCAGGCAATGTGGAAGTTTACAACCGAAAACAATCACACAGTGACTCAAAGATTCCCCCAAATATTACCCCTTCATGCCTTCAACAGTTGGAGCCTCCTATGTGCCTGGCGGGTCTGGCCTTCCTCCCTCCCTCTCTCCTTCCCTGAGCGGGGACCTGGCGCCTTACAGTGGAAGTTCAAGTGCCACATTTGCCGAAACCAACAGGCAACACAAATCACCCCTGTGTCAATGTTTTGAGCTCCTTCAAACTGAAAATGTGTGCAACAGCAGACAAAGGATAATATAAATTATTTCAGGTAACGATTTAATTACCATTTAATCTTTACCAAATTTGCACAATTCATTTTCTTTTACAACCACATGAAAAACAAGAAGCCAACCTTTAATGACAGGGGGGGAGAGGGGAAAAAAAGCCATGAAGCAGGTTCGAGTTTCTCTTTAATAAAATAAATAGGCAAGACCCATAGACGCAGACAACAGCACGGTGATCACCAGACGGAAGGGGGGGGGGGGGGGGGTAGAAGGTACAGGAGGGATAAACAGTGATGGAAGGAGACTTGACTTACGGTGGTAAGCACACAATACCAGATGATGTATTGCACAACTGTACACCTGAAACCAATACAATTTTATTAACCAATGTCACCCCAATAAATTCAATGAAAAGGTAAGAATAAGTAAGTAAATAAATGCAAGAACTAAAGCACAAATCAAAACACCCCAAGGCCAAAGGAAATCAGGTATATTCTGACACCAATAAATCATCGGAGACTAATGGAGTAATTATAATAAATATCTGTTCTTTTATTTATCTAGTGTGCCGTTCCCCCACCATGGAACTGTTGTAAATTGTTACAAACTAACGTTGTCATTCCATTTCTTGATCCAAAAGGCGGACAGCAGAAGGGCAAGACCAGCAGGAGGACAACTCAGCTAGACGTTCATAATACAAACTAAGAGTGCACCATGTGCCAGGCATCGGGGCTATAAAAATTCCAGATGTGATCTCTGCTCTCAAGAAGTTCAACACTGATTGTGGCTGAGGAAGCACATTTTACTTACAAGGGGACCAGGAACAAGAGAAACTGCACCCCACATTAACAGACTTTCAAAAATGGTAGCAAACGACATGAGACAATGCATTAAAGTTTGATTTCTCTGACACTATGTTAGGGCTGCAATGATTCCCAGCTAGGCTCGTCAGAAACCCACCTGTTGAAGACGAACTGTTCAACAGAACAAGTAAATTATAGCCTACCAATCCAAAAGAAGTGCAAATATATTTTTTGTGTAAAGTACTAATAAACAGCATTGGTTAATCAGTATAAGAAAAACCATTTACTTGCTTTAGCTTGTTTCGTTTGGATGCCTGGCATTTACTTACACCCCCTTCCCTATATGTTTGATGATCTTTCCACCATGTGAGTATCAGTGGGAAGTAGAGCCTGTCTTTTCTTAAAGGCCGAAAAGGCCAAATACTCACCTTCTCAACTTCCCATGCAGCAAGGGTGCAGGCGATGACCCTAAGATCGACCAATGCAAGGCACCCAGTGAGGACCCTGAATCAGAAGCTAATATCACAAAGCAGCCAGGTAGAGAAAGCAGCAACCAGTGTCCCAGGCCGCCGCAGAGCCAGTGGCAGCAAGAGGAGCAGCAGCATGCAGTGTCACAGTGCTGGTGACACACGCTGCAGAACGCAGCATCTCCAGACAGCATCGAAAATGCCGTACTCTCGGGTCCCAACCTCAAGTGCTTCCAAAGCACCAAACTGACTGTGGAACTTCCCTGGGGTCCTGCCCATTTTCAGAGCTGTGCTGCCGCCACACTTGACTTTAAAGCAGTGCAGAGAACGCTTCCATATTCTTCCATGAAGTGTTTTTTTTTTCTATGCTTAACTCATTACAGTCCCTGCTAATAAGAAAAATGAGCACTAGACAGCAGTGATGAAGAAAATAGGGTAAATCAAGAAACAGCCCACCCGCAAACAGCTGGATGTGTGCAGTCAAGTTTTGGAAAATGGATCATTCCAGGTCCTATGATTCAACTCTAGCTCTGATCATTCACTGAGTAATTTGTCATCAAGTCTTCATTCCAGAATTTTTCTATTCCAACTACTAAATAACTTGGCAGTCTGATTTTATCTACAAGATGATCCACATCTTCTGCGTCAATTAGTATCACAGGAAACAGCCAGTTCTCTGACTTGGACTACATTCAAATTGCAGGCACAGCCCCAAAGGATTTACAAGGGTGAAGAACACAGCTTTCTCTAATTTCTTGAATGATAATCAAAGGCCTACAACTGCCAATGCTGGGGCTTTAGGAAAAAGTCAAGTATTGAAAGGAATGACTGGCTTTCAACCACCCAGTTCACAAAAGTTTCAAAGCATTCTCTCAATAGATCTTTGTTGTTGCTGCTGTTATGCTTGCTTCAGGAAACAACAGATACAATTACTCTTTGGTAACTTTAAAATACAAAAATTAGCCCTACCTGGTGTAGCTCAGTGGATTGAGCACGGGCCTGCGAACCAGAACCAGAGGAACCTGAGGTCTGATTCCCAGTCAGGGCACATGCCTGGGTTGCAGGCCAGTTCCCAGCAGGGGACACACGAGAGACAACCATATATTATTATTTCTCTCCCTTTCTCCTTCCCTTCCCCTCTAAAGATAAATAAATATAATATTTTTTAAAAATAAAAAAATGAAGTAAATTCCTCAATTATGAATCCAGTAAGGGCTTAGTAAGATTAATGGTCCAGCTACTGATTTGAGCTTTTGCACTTACCTCCTCACTTCCACTCACCCAAATTCCAAGTTAATGGGTCTGGAAGAGCAGTGATGGGGTGGGGGTGGGGGTGGAATCATCCAGCCCATCTCAAACGGAGCTCTTCTCCTAAGCATGTAATAGGAACTCAGTAATATTTGTTGCTTAAACATAATTCTCATGCCTGTGCATAAATATTGCCTATTTCCATAAATCGCTTTCACATAACATTTTTCATTGGGTCGGGGCTTCCAGGCTTAGAAAACACTTCCACATGAATTCTCACATCTAGGTTAGCCTTGCCTGCACAGCCTTCGAACGCAAAGCGCACCCCGGGACTCGGCAACCTAGGCTCCCACCGCACAGTGTTGCCTATTTCAGCAGTTCGCATACACTGAAATCAACTACGTCTCTCGCTTATTTACTCCTTAACGAGTCTTAAGAACGTCCCGTTCAAAACACAGAAGGTGTCTCCTAAACACCAAGATTCTTCCGCCTCCTGCAAGCCAGGTCCTCCCCCAGCTGAGCATCAGCTGGGAGCCTGATTTCCACCATCCCCCGCCAATTATGATTTCCACGGCCACACTAATTAAGCACGCCGCACAAGACACGGACTTTTGTTCTCCAGCGCCTATATCCCCGGCCCAACGCGTCCCCTTAAATCTGTCTCACCGGCTCCCCCCAATTCCTACAGCAGCCCAAGGGGTGCGGGTGTTAGCAGCTCCAGCTCCGCCCTGCAGGGACCGTGCCTGGGATGGTCCCAACGCCCCCGCCCGGCAGCCGCGAGGCGTCCCCAGGACCCCCCGCACAAGAGGAGTGCGGGGCTGGACTCGGCAGCACCGACGAGCTCCGGTGCAGCCGCGGCCAGGTGGAGTCCCGGGACGGCCTGTCGCGCGGACAGCACTGAGGGGATTCAGGTGGGCGACGGCGCCCCGTACGTACGCACCCGAGAAGGCAGCGGTCGCAGACGAGTCCACGACTCCCCTTGCACACCGTGTACGCCAGGGGATCGGAGCGGAAGAGCAGCTCTCCCGGGCGCAGCGGCGCCAGTGCGCGGAGCCCGTTTCCCCTGTCGGTGGTGCTGAACTTTTCCACCTTCAGTGGCTCCATCCTGCCGCCGCTCCACACCTCGGACCACAGCAGCCTCCCGCTGCCGGCTCCTCGAGGGCTGCCGGGAACCTCGCGCCTGCGCCCTGCGCGCAAACATAGACCGAGGGGCGGGGCAGGAGGGGCTTCTGAGCGTGCGCAGACGGCGTCCCGAAGCCAGCGGGGCGTTGGGAGAGTGAGCCGGCGCAGGCGCTGCAGTCGGACTCCCTAGGCTGCTGGAGTCCCAGGCAACTCTGCAAGGAGAGGCGATGGTTTTCCCCCTCCACTATTTTCCTATGACAGTTTGATCGCAGACTGAAAGTTGAGAAAACAACGCAATGAACGCCTTTATACCTTTTACCTAAATCAAACAATTCTTGGTATTTTGCCATTTCTGCACATTCTCTCTCCACGTGTCTGCAGGTATGTGTGCATAAACGTGTGTTGTTTGAACCACTTGAACGTAAGTTGTGTTCTTGAATCATTGCAAAGTAAGTTGCAGACATAACATTTCACAACTAATACTTTTACATCGTAGCATTTCTCTCTCTCTTTTTTTTTTTTTTGAAAAACAATAACATTCTTTTATTCAACACATAATTACTGGGCGCTCACAGAGTATGTCAGACTCCGTGCGAAGCACTGGGGATATGATGAAAGAGAGAAAACGATTCCTGATCTCAGGGAATTTATAGTGGAAGGGGTGTTGGACGGGGCAGGGAGAAGCAGCTAAGGGGGCAAAAGAACAACAACAAGCAAAACAATTTCAGCGTGGTGTGTCCTGCGTATCTCAGAATTTTGTTTCTGTATATTGCCAGGTACTTTTCTGTTATTTGTTTTTTCATTCACTTGTTGATGGCGTTTGTTGTGCAGGATATTTACTAATTAAATAGTGTAACATGCATTTCCTCAGATAAGAACAGTATCCTAAAAACAGCAAAATCATCATCACACCTAAAAAGTTATTCTAGGCTAGCAAGCAAAAACCATATTCACTTTAAGTTTGACTTTTGTAACGTTTTTTAAAAACCAAGATTCAATCAAAAGTCCATTTCTTTCTCATGACATTGACTCTTTTTTTTGTACTTGTTCTCTGAAGAGTCCAAACTAGGAGTCTTGTAAAATGTTGTCCATTCTGCATTTGTCTGGCTGTTCTCCGATGGTGTCATTTAACTTGTTGCTCTGTTCCCTGTATTTCCTGTAAACTGCAGACTAAATCTGGACATTAGAGTCCAGAGGCTTGATTCGATCCAACTGTTGAGCAAAAACATTTTACAACTTGTACTGTTCACTTATGATCACATCACATAAACCTTAAATGTGAATAATGTGCCACTATTAATAAAACTAAGTTGATTAGTTGGTTAAAGTGGTGGCTGCCAGAAGTCTTTGTTATAGAAGTGGACTGTACCTTTGCAATTAGTAAGCACTCTCTGGAGGGATACTCTGGTGCTATAAGAATACCCTGATTCCCACCACCTGTATTACATAATACAACATAATGCAGTGCTCGTAATGTCCTATAACGAGAACGGCATATTCAGTAACAGAGGCTTTAGGTTGTTTTTCTTAGTAAGACTCATCGCAAAATGGGCAGTCCTGCTTTCCAGAATTCTTCACTGATAAATGACAAGTATCAGGTTCCAGATTTTCTATACAAAGACTGCTCAGGAAGTGTAAAGATGACTGACTTACTGTTTTTCAAGGTTGCCTGGGAGGGACATTATCCCAGAATCTCTAGGCTCTTTGTCCTATCCCGCACTCAACAGGTTGTCGGGGGAGGGGTTCTTATGAAAACAGTAGATGGAAGGTAGTTTAACGAGAACTGGAGGATGTTACCAGAATTCATGACATACAGAGTTCAGAGGTTTCTGTAACATAAACGATATGGGAATCCTGGGTAGGATCCCGAAACTGACCATCTTTTTCCAAGATTTGATGTCTTCAATGAAAACGATTGGCTCATTGACCAATTACAAATTGGCTTTACAGTTAGCTTTCACCAGGAATCTAAATTGAATTTCTAAACTATACAAAAATCAATGTTTTCTCACCCTGTTTGTTCCATTACTTCCATATCCTTGCTTTTAATGAGCAAATTAAAACCAAGCACATGGAATGTCGTGCCCAATTCCCCATAAACTCTAATTGAAGGTTTAACATTCTATTTTATTAGCAAGAGGTAAATTAAGTAGTCGCTATAAATGTTTAATGCAGAATTACCCAGCAGTTTTAGTAATAAACCAATTGAAATTTAATTAAGAATCACTGGATTATTTTAAAAGTCTATCATATGTCTCATCGGGTAACTAGAATTGCTCTTTTGAGCCTTATAATGGTGCAAATAAAATACTGACAGAGAATAGAACAACAACAAAAAAAACCCTTTTATTTTTTTACTAATCCAAAGGTGCAGGCCTGTGGCTTGGAGGTCGCTAATGAGAGGCATCGCTTCCAGAGCGGATGTGCTAATTTCTATTCGTTAGATTCAGAAGAGTCCCTGTGGTGATGTAGGAATGGGAAGCTAGTGAGGAATGTCTTTAAGATAGTATTTGTAGTTTCAACCAAGATAGCTCTTGGTTGAAAGTGACAGAATTCCATCCCAAACTAGTTTTAACAAAAACGGAAATTGGCTTCAGGCATTTGCTTGGCTTTGGACATGTTTTTGACTTAGGGTGTGGTTAGAACCAGGAGCCAACATGTTATCAGAATGACATCTCCCTAGTTCCTTGTGTGAGCTCGGCTTTCTCTGTGCTGATTTCACTCTCCAGAGTTTCCTTGTGTGTGTGTGGGGGGGGGGGGGGGGGCAAGAGAAAGTATCCTCCCTTTAGGAGATGCACTGTTCATAATATATTGTCAGACGAGCATAAAATATCACACACAGGGCCAGACAAAGCCTTTTCACTTTGCACATGCAAAACGAAGGCCCAGATAAATAATACCTGCTAAATAATAGCATTCTGCAATTTAGAGATGAAAGAACAAATGGGGACATTCTGCCATAATAGAACTTTTTTTCTACCCTACTACACAGCGTGCCTGTTTTGACGCCAATCACCTTGTGAACTCATACTGCATTCTCAGACATTCTAGAGAAAGTTACACGTAGTCCAGAGACAAACACCTAAAAAGAACCTTAAATAACCACCAAGAGGGCCTCGTGTTGTTGGTAACTCAAACTTTTCATTCTCCTAGCCATCTTTAGTCACCATGAACTTACCTAAAGCTGACTGTATGGGCGACTATTTCACTCTTGTAGCGTGAAAACTTTTCTTCAGTTACCTGGCCATGTTCCCAGTACTCCATTAGAACACTCTGCTAAGCTCATCGGGTTTGGGGAGGATTCAAAAAGACCAGCCACCAGCAAAACTAAAAGGCCCCTTGGCAAAACACCTGTGCTAGTGCTCACCCCTGAACTGCTTGGCACGGGATCTGGATGGACCTTGTCATCACCAGGAATCACTCCATCTCTGGCACCTCAGAACCGGAGTGTAAATGACATCACACTGGCGCTTTTCACACTTGCTTCAATGTTTCAACCACTTTCTTCCAGTTACTCCCACGTCCCCTGAGTCCTGCATGAGTTTGGGTCTGCAGGGAAGCAGGCGCTACGACAGGCTGACACGCCTGGAAGGTTTTTAGAGAAGGAAGGAGAAGGCATGGCATTCCGACTGGAGGCCTGACACTGGAAAGAGAAAGATCGGACAGGACGTCCTGGGCCACCGTGAAATTCCAAGAAAGGTTTATTCACACCAACAGGGAGTCCTTGAGCCAGAACTGTCCATGGGGGTGGTGTCTGTCACCAGAGGAGCCTATCTTCCGCCCCCAACCCCACCCCGTCCCCCGACACACGGCTAGTAAATTCGGAGTGGAACTCAAAATTAGGTCCACTTCGAGATTAATTCCTTTTCTTAGATGCCACAGTTAGGGGCCTGCCCTCTGTAGCTCGGTGCTTAATCATGGCCTGGGAACCGCCTTGATTGGAAGTGCGACCTCAGCATAAACACAGCGGTGGACCCAGGGAGAAGCTGGAGAGGTCAGCCAGCTGCACTCTCCCCGGCAAATCCGACCACACCCCAGCGCCTTCAGGCAGCATCTTTCTCACTGAAAGACGTTTAAATTAGTCAAACTAATGTCTTTGTAAGTAATGGAAACCACTCTGTGCACAGGCCTGAAGGCTCATCTCTTCAGCGCACAATTTTTATTCATCTGATTGTCCACGCTCTCCATTGCTCCCGTCCTAAAATGACTCAATAGTATAAAATGCTCCCACTATCAACTTGGTCCCTATCCTTAGCTACACTCTCTATATATTTTTTTAAGATTTTATTTATTTAGCTTTAGAGGGGAAGGGAAGGAGAGAGGGAGAGAAACATCAATGTATGGTTGCCTTTCATGCATCCCCTGCTGGGAACTGGCCTGCAGGGAACCAGCCTGCAACCCAGGTATGTGCCCTGACTGGGAATCGAACCGCGATTGTCTGGTTCGCAGGCCCGCGCTCAGTCCACTGAGCTACACCAGCCAGGGCTTAGACTCTCTATATTATTTAGTGACCCTCCTTAAGTCCGTTTCTCTCTTAAACTCCCAAAGCAATTAACAGATCTGTTCTTAAGTCCCCTCTTCCATTTTGTCTTAAGTGACACTGCCTGATACTCTGTGCATGTACTACTTGTAAGGCATTAATTCACATTTATATCAGAATCCATACTCGACTCCTTTTATCCAGGCCAAGAGCAAAACATGCTGCTCTGGTTTTTGAAGCCCACTCCGTTTTCAAACAGCCACCAATTAATCCCTGGGAACTATATTTAAAACGTTTCTCAGCTGATATTCTTGTAACCCAGTAACAGAAATTTAGGCTTCAAGCACGGGACTAGGAAAGAAACACGGAGAGAAGACAGACTACATGACACTAGGAAGCTTAGACAAGGTTATGAAATGGCAGGACAGGAATTATAAGAGAAAGGAGAGGATTCAGAGTTTCCAGCCAGACTGATATGTAAGCCAGTGACCACAGCAGGGAAGTCAGAAAGTTACTAATACGCCTTAGCTATCACGAAGTGCTGTAACAGCAAACAAATCTAACCCAGGAGACTGGGTTTCTCAGCTAAAATGCAGAAGCTTCTTCAATGACCTATGAAAACATTCTTAATTTCATTTAGGTTCAGGAAAAGGTCTAACTGCAGATAAACTTTCTTGATAGGAACAAAAATGCAAGAGACTTTTGAATAACAGACTGAATTATTCACAATGTATACTGACTATACATGACAGAATTTAAAGTGAGTAAGTTAGGGTCAACTTTATGTTTCATTAGGGACAAAAAAAGAATCACAAAATCTTACTTAAAATACTTTAATTTCTAAAAACGTTTAAACCATAATAAAGTTTAATTTATTTCATTGCACAGTATTTAATACTTTCAACAAACTGAAAAGTAAAACAAACCACGTAATTCAGTTGTATTTACTTTCTAAGCTTAAAACTGTACCAACTCTTTGCCCTCCTGGAGGATGCAAAAATCAACAGTGCACGGGGAATATTTAAATTAATACAATGCGTTTGACTAAAAGGACTTTTAAAACTAAATTTCATCTGGTAACTCCATACAACTACGGGCACACTGACAGTAGATAGAGTTTAAAACAAAACAAATCTGAGCTGATCAAATCCACCGTTAAGGGACGTTCTTTATTCTGTTGTGAATAAAATAGCAGCCACTGTTTTACCCAATGTCCTAACGGCATCAGCCTCGGAAGAAATGATCTGCCTTGTTCGTGCAAAACAAGAACAGCTCCATTCTGCTGAAAGGATGTGAGTTTTACAAACGTAGCTCCTTTTCACATGTGTCGTAACTTCCAAGCACAGTGAACGGCTCCAGCTGCTCTCCTGCCAGTCCGGTCCCTGTTCCCTATAAGACAACATCCTCCATGAACTCGTCATACAGCCACTTGCAGGAATAATCTTTGGAACATTCTATGGTTTCGAAGAGGCGTTTAAAGTCTAGAGGGTGCATATCTGTTACTTTTGTTGTTCCTCTCTTTTTCATTTTCTTCAGTACATCTTCTGCATCCACTGGACTCAAAGAACTGCCAAAAAAAAAATTCAAAGTAAATTTCCGAAATTCTTTTCCATAACAACTGTCAGTTAACAGTGATAAAGGTGGCTTGTAAGCTCAATGTCAAATGCCTAACATATATAATTAGTCTTATTTAGTTTAAGAGCTTGCATGTAACATGTATCTTTATGTTTATCCCTCAAGTTTCCTGGCTTACCTACAATGAAGAGCACATGTAGGTGTTAAGATGTTCTGACCTATTCCTACACAAAACTCATTTAACGCTGCCCTTTGAAAAGACTCTTGTCTACTTCTTTCATCCTTTAACTCTCTTTCCAAAAATGGTCTTTAACTCCATTTAGGTTCATGTAAAAGTTCAGTAAGCTCAACCAGCAGAAACTGCTGCCTCACCCTTTTCAAAGAGGGAATAATCTTTCACATTTTTACATAACAATTACTGGTGAGTATTACATAAAACAAAAACCACCTTATGTATTAGCCTACATGAGCCTCTGACAATACCAAGCAAGCAACTGCAAAAGAATATTTTGGTAGGAAATCCTGCCAATAGTTTCTAATTCTGAGTGGAATCCTCGTCACAGATAGAAACATGATTTCGGTTCACAGACATCTCAAAGGGAATTTTCAATATTTTGTACTACGGCTTACCACATTTATTCCTTAATTCCCTATATTGTTGATGGTTTCCCTCAAAACAACCACTACCACAAGGGAACAAGATAAAAAATAGATTATTTTTATTGGTCTACTGCCACGTTTAACATTTATTTTTTACCTAAATTTTGTTCAACAGCTCATTCAGTTATTTATCTGATGATGATCAAATTCATTTAAATGACTAGTTTAACATTTTGTTTACCCGCTGACAATCCTTTGAATGACTATGGGCTGCTGATCACAAGATGTTACGCACAACTCACAAAACTGTATAAATCCACCCCATAAAAAAACTATTCTTATATAGACACAAAGTAGCTATAATTTTTGTGAAGCTTTATATGAACAAAAGTTTTGGTCCAGGGCGGGAAAACTAATACAGTGGCACATCCCTACTTTGGTTAGGAAACAGGACCCACGAGCTCACTGACAAGGTAGACACTGACTCTCCATCCTGGCCAGTGACAAGCAGCGAGTTCTTCATGAAGGTGACCAGGTACCCCCAGCTAAATCCGACAAAGATGAAAACAAATTGTGGCCTTCCTGTTTGTTTTTTCAAAGATGGGGGGAGGAGATTAAGCTTAGGAGATCATGTGGAAAACACAATTATACTTTTCTGAAACTGTGCACCAGGCCGAAGTATAGGGCTGGCCAAAAGGTCCATTACGTTTTTTCCCATTTGATGGCTCCAGTGGTGCTTAGCTGTCTTTCATGTCATTTGAAACAATTCTGTCAGCTTGTATTGTGACAGCTGTCATGTCAGCGTACATTAAAAAAGAACTTTCCAAAACTGAATTTTGGGGCAGATATTTTAATGCTGAAGATGGAAGAAGAGAGGCAACATTTTCAGTATATGGTGCCTTACTCTTTCAACAAAGATGAAAAGGCAAGTGAAGCATGAGGAAAGATTTGTGCAGTGTGTGAAGAAGGTGCTGTGACTGATGGAATGTGTCAAAAGTTGTTTGTGAAGTTTACTGGTGCTACTGACAATTCGGCCAAATACCTCTTTGCTGTCTTGTGCAAATACCTCTTTGCTGTCTTGTGCACTGGAAGGTGTTTAGCAGCAACCCTGGCCTCAACTCACTAGAAGCCAATAGCAGGAGACACAGCCAATGTACTCAAAATACCAGTAAAATCGTTGGTGGAAATGAAAAATGTGTCATTTATTTTATGGAAAAACCATACGCACTTTTTGGCCAACTCACTATTTAGAAGAAACAGATGAGTGGAAACATGGTACTTCACTGTTAAATAAGAATATACAAGATACAAAAAATAGGCCTCTAACATGAAAGTATAATTCCCACCCTAAAATGCTACTTTTATACTTTCATTTCTCTTACTTACTGTAACTGGTCTATCAGCTTGGCATTGCGCTTCAGAAAACACTGCTTTAACATGTGAAAAAATACATCATAGTTCACAGGTGTTAAATTTTGTGTAAATAAATTTCTACGAGGAGTGAATTGAATAAAACACAGGTTTTGTTGTGTTTGTTGTTCTAATGATTCCTGGAAAGGAAGGAAAATAAACTGTGTTAGTCATAAAGTATTGCCCGAGCGAGACACTGTTCACTTTCTCGTTCAAGTTACCTGTTGGAAGAGGCAATCACCATAGACCCGAGTGTCCCTGTGTGTTCTTATCAGCTGTGCCCAGCACGCAAAGCCCTAACAGCTCTCTGCCTGGGCCATTCCTCAGGGTGGTCTGCAGTGAGTCACCTTGAGGGACGATTCTCTCTCTCTCCAGGACAAAAAATTAGGCCTGCTTAATGTTTGCTAGGAAAGGGGTGGGTCCCCCAGCTCTGCACTGTTCCTCAGCTGCAACGCAAACCCTGTGAACGCACGCCCTCTGACTGCGCCACGCCACACTGCTCTGTGGCCTCGGAGGCGAATCGAACCCCGTGTCTGGTCCAGGAGTCGTGTCTCTGGCCACCATCCATAGAGTCCCAGCTTCTTACCTTGTCAACAGGCTAAAATCAAACCCCAAACATGACACTAACATGCAGTGAGTCTCTTCTATATTGGAAGCACCCCACCACAGCCTAGGCATAAAAAAATACTGTGCGCACATAATTTTTAATAGGATAATTTTTTTTAAATATGGGCTTAGCAAGCTATGGTCCATGGCCTCCCTCTTTTTGTAGTCTGGGGCTAAGAACATTTTTCACATTGTAAAGGACTGTTGTTGCTGTTTTGTTTTGTTTTTTTCCTTAAAAAAAAAGCTAACACCAAAGAACATGAGACAGAAACTGTTAAGTGGCCTGGAAGCATAAGCCATAAGATATTTACCAACTGACCCTATGCAGAAAAAGTTTGCCTACCTGCTCCAATATACAATATTACACAGATTAAAATGAAAACTCTATATGATTTGATGTAAATGTAAGGCATTTTTCCCCTAAAATGATTCCTCAGAAAAGAGGGAGCTTTATGTTTCTTTAGGAAATTTCACACATTAGGTGTGACCACTTATATGCCTTATTTTATATATATTTAAATATAAATATTGAATACTTGCAATATACATTGTTTATATATATTTAAATATAAGTCCTATTTGTGGAAAACATAATGGGTGACCCCCTCAAATTATAATCAATCCTAGTTCCTAGTTTTGGGTGTCTACAGTGTAAGGAATTGGTAAAAACAACGGCAATTAAATTCAAAAATATTTAGTAATTATTCATGTAACAACACGGATAATACAATTCCAAGTATTGTGTGTTGTTGTTGACAAGTTTTTGAAGGTACTTTAAAAGGCAACCTGGTACATAACATTAAAGATATACATTTACCTGACAAATAGGGAAGAAAAACTTTCCTAATGTTAAATGAGGACTGATTTGTAATTTGGGGCAAAGGTTCCAGGGACGACATAGACACACGGCTTCCCAAGTGTGAAACCTCCAACTTGGGGGGAAACGATGATAAGCTCTAAAAAACTCTCAATGTCTCAAAGTGCTTCCATAGCAATTATTAACACACTGACATCAAAGGTATGTGTGAAATAAACAATGAAATTCTCTCATGAAACATGAGATTTGGTTATTTCCTCTTTACCCCTAGAAGTGTATATATTTAAGTTGGCCAAAAACTTTTTAGCTTTTGTTCTTGTCATTAAGAAAAATAAGAGAATGTCTTCTACACAGAGTCGTTCATTTCGGGGGCTTTTTGGTCAATTCCTGATGTCATCCAGACAAAACGTGTGACTCCTATTAGGTTGTACTTCTGAAGAGTGAGAGAGAACTAAGATCACAATGGTCATGACAGGTACCGATCGCTCCAAGGTCAGACCATTTCTAAGTGCGTATTTCCTTTTTCTCATTCAGTGGCAAGAGTAAAAAAATAAAGAGGGAAGCAAAGGAGAACCTCAGACGGAGCTAGAATGCCGGGATTAGGGCATCGTTAGCATTGAATCCTAACGGGGAACTTTTTAAAGGAGTTCAGAAATTGTTTTTGAAACTTCAGCTACTTTATTACAATTTCACTACAAATACCCTAATATAAATGAAATGGAGAATTGCTTTATAACATCATCTCTTGAAAAAAATAAATAACTAAAGCCCAACCTCCTGGGTAGGAAACACACGTACTTATGTACCTATTGGTAAAGTCAACCATTATGCGTAGCAATATTACAAATTTCTGATCAATAACGTACAACATTTTGTTTTAAGTTTACAAATTAGATGAATAGTAAAATGGTTATGTCTTCCAAATCTGGGCTGTATCTTCATTTCCAGAGAGGGCAACATGGAAGTCAGACTCTGTTTAAGTCTACTGCTATGTTCATCCTCTGGAAAAATAGCTGGAAAATACAATTCTCTTCCAAAATAATCTGCATTTATTAAAAAGCAGTAAGATATCTTTAAAGCACATTTCCAGACATTCTGAAGTTAAAAAATTTAAATCCATACAGAACATCAGATGATCTTAAAGGAAGCAAAGCACGTTGCGCTCAGAAAAGAGCGGAGAGGCGTTCACTCACTCACCCCGTGCTCCGGCTTCCCCGGTCGCCCCGCTCGGGTGTACTTGTCAAACGACGACCAAGGCTCCTGGAAACAAGTGAGACAGTCGTCCCTTCAGTTCTCCTCGGCCAAAGGGCCCCAAATCGCTGCTGCTTTTAGAAATGTCCGCCCAAACAGCAGAATGAACCCTAGTCACCAATCTAACTGGTTTAAAGAAAAACAACATGTAACAGTTCAATCATTTATCTTTTTTTTTTTTTTTTTGGATAAAGGAAAGGAAAATCAAAGGTCTGTCCCGATATTGGTAACTCTGTTACTTAGATAAAAGAAAGTTACCCTTCATATGATTACACAAATAGGGTCTCAAGTTATAATTTTATTTTTTTTTTTTTTATTTATTTATTTGTAGAGAGAGGGGACAGGAAGGAGAAAGAGTGGGAGAGAAACATCAATGTGTGGTTGCCTCTCATACGTTTAAACGGGTTGCCACTGGGGACCTGGCCTGCAACCAAGACCTGTGCCCTGACTGGGAATTGAACTGGCGACCCTTTGCCTCACAGGCCCGCACTGAGCTACACCGGCCAGGGCTCAAGTTATAATTTTAAATAACCAACATTTCAAGAGGAGAGTCACAATCAGGTTAGGGGTCATCAGCTCAATACTGAGGATATTTCTGTCCTAACTTCATGGAAAAGCCTCTTGTTCAAACTCATCTGAATATGCTGGGACATGTAGGGAGACACAAAAATAAAGATACTGTGTGAATTTTTTTAAAGATCATTACTTTTTTTGTACCTAACTTTTATATATACAATTTTACATGGGAAGCAATTTTTATTATACAAATATATACACACGGATTAAATTCCAAAATATGAGTTAAACCAGCATTGACACAGACATAAAAACTAAAACTTACAAAACTGGACACAGGTTTGAAAGGGTATTGTCAAAAGGGCTATTACTAACCACAGTGGCACGGGTAGTGGAATAACAAATACAACTGTTGCTCATCCGTAAAACTGCTGGCAGCTCCAGAATGTCACCAAGAGGAGGAAGGCAAAGCCACAGCAGTGTGCAGGAGGTGCCACAGTTCCCACCGTCCCACACTCGGGTCTATTTAATAGCCCTGGGCACAGAGGGGGCCTGACCCCTTACAAAGCCACAGGAGAGGAAACCCGAACGACCCTGGGAACTGCGTTTCACAGCTGACCCTCCAGTTAGAGGTATGTAACGGACGGGGGTTTAAAGTGTGGGTTCACGAAGACCTCTCCTTTCTGGAGATTAATAAATGGCAACACTCAACATAGGCAAACAAACGCTGCAGAATGAGAGGAGAAAACTCTCCTGAAAGGCAGTCCCCTGCGGGCCTTGATGGAGAAACCAGTGGAGAGCTGCAAAGACAGAAGGGGCTGCAACGAAAAACGCACAGAATGAAAGGAGATCCGTGGGGGCAGGTAAGAAAGAATTTTACAGAAGCCAAGAACTACATGCCAAGACGACAATGTCAGTGCAGACAGAACTGCTGGAGCTGCCAGCAGTTTTACGGATGAGCAACAGTTGTATTTGTTATTCCACTACCCGTGCCACTGTGGTCAGGGCAGGGGAGACTAAATGTGAAAACATTTCTGGGAATCCGAGAAGATGATGAGGGCATGACGGATTACTAAAGGCAAGGAAGAGAGAGCCAGCCTAGAACCTCAGATGTTCTGAAGGAAAAAAAAACAATTGAAACCAAAGCTACAATCAAACAAGGTAACGGTGCAAGTGTGCGCATCACGGGGCTTAGTGTGTTCCTGCCGAAAGCACTGAGGGGCTCCGTGAGGACACAGGGCAAAAGTTAAAACTGAAACCATGAAATCCTTGGAAGAACAAGGGCTCATAAAAATGTATGAACAGCCCTGGCTGGAGTGGCTCAGTGGACTAAGTGCTGGCCTGGGAACGGAAAGGTCACTGGTTCGATTCCCAGTCAGTGCACATGTCTGGGTTGCAGGCCAGGTCCCCAGTGAGGGCGTCAAAGAGGCAACCAATTGACATTTCACACCAATGTTTCTCTCCCTCTTTCTCCCTCCCTTTCCCTCAAATAAATAAATAAAACCTTAAAAAAAAAAATATATATATATATATATGAACACATACATAAAAACGACTCAATATTCTATCTACTAAAGTGAAAGAATACACAAATTATGGTATGAAAGAAATAGCATTTATCATTTTTTTCTTACACTTTAGCCCTCTGCTATTAAATACGGTAGCACTAATCACCACAGCTGCTGAACACTTGAAATGAGTCTAGTCTGAACTGAGATGCTGTAAACTACACCCTGGATTTCGAAGGCCTAGTACACACACAAAAATCAAAACTGTGTAATAACTAATTCTAAAATATTGATTACATGCTAAAGGGACAACATTTTGAATGGAGGTTAAGAAAAATACTAAAATTAATTTCACCTGTTTCTTTTTAAAATTTTTTTATTGTGACTGCTAAAAAAGGTAAAATTGTATATATGGTTTGTATTATATTTCTATTGGACAACTTTGATTTTCCTAAGGACATAAACTAAAAAAATGGGGGGGAATGATCTATAATAAAGTATTAAACAGTCATTAAAAACTTAAACTGTTCAGTGACAAGGGGAAAAAACATAAGCATCGGCTATTAAACAAAAAAAGGAGATAAAAATCATGGAATCTTCACTATGTGGAGAAAAAGAATCACAGGGAGAATAGCAAACAAAATACGTGCCACAAACAGCAGCAGCGGCCTCTGGGTGGCAGAAATGTAGGGGATTTTAAAAATTCTTTTCTAACATTTTTACAGGGAACACGCGCTATTTTTATTTTCAGAGGAAAACAAGGGCTTGTGACGAGAACAGCAGCAACCAGTTGCCTGGCCCCACTGTATTCCACGGCTGGGAAAAACAAGCAACTCAACGCTGAACTTTTCCCCGGTCCCTGGGCACTGACACGCAGCCGCTCTGAGCACGGTTGGTCGAGGCCCCGCTGAAAGGCACGTGGGCCCCACTCACCCTCTGCAGCAGCCTAACCTCACAAGCCACTTGCCACAGCACACTGAGGGCCTGGTACAGGTTCCGATGCTGGGGATTCGCCATGATCTTCTAGTAGGGAAAACAGAAAGCACTGGTCATGCAAAACCACCATCCCTCAAAAGCAAAGGTGGTCTTAATGGTAATATCTTCGTATTCTCTAGAAATTAGGGAAAATTCAAATCAAATGCAAAATCTTAGCTGTTACCATGTCAAAGCAGAGAAAGAACTTTTAAACTTTCATATAGAGATATATCATGTACACTTAAAACAGAAAGTATTCGAGATTGATCTCCTTTAATCCATTAGGGCAAAACCTCGTTAGAGAAAAAAATTAAACAAAAATGCGTCATTTCTGTGGAAAGGGACACAGTGTATTAGAAATAGGTACCGGGTGGCCTATCCAGTTCTGAGTCAGGCTGACACTTGAAAGGTAAGAGGTCACCCCAGTGAATGAGAGGACACCTCAGACAGAGCAAACAACGGGTAAGAGCATCCTTGGTAAAAACAAAACAAAAAAACCACCGTAACGTCTTCCTAGCAGCAAGACGACGCCTGACGAAGCTGTGCTCTCTCTCCTCCTTCCATTCTTCCATTGCGTACTGCATGCGCCGCTCATAGGTCCGGAGTCCCCTCTCCTCCCACAGGCAGTGACTACTCGCTTACTGCCTGGGTTTGGGAGAATGAGGCACCCCTTCACTTCCTGCCCCACAGCTCTGTTAGGGACAAACACGCATCTCCTGTTACAATGCATTTGAAGAGTGATGACAGGAGGCGTTCTGGGCAGAAAAGAAACATCACTCCCAAAGCAACATCCAGGTCTTCAGGAGGACCTTCCGTATCAGCGAATTAAAAGTAGAGGCTAAAACTCTAGACAATGCACACAAAAACTGTTAGGATAAAGGGAATTCAGCAAAGTCGCAGGCCACAAAATTCACACACAAAAATCAGTTGCATTTTTATACACTAACGATGAACAATCTGAAAAGGAAATTAAGAAAACAATTCCACTTACACGAAAAGCTACAAAACATTTTACTGTAAGAAATTAAAATAAATAAAAAGACATCCTGTGTTTATGATGGAAAGATTTAATATTATTAAGATGTGAGTACGACCCAAGTGATCAACAAATTGAATGCAATCCCTATCAAAATCCCAAAGTTGTTTTTTTCCCCAGAAATTAAAAATTCATCTTAAAATTTACATGGAATCTTGAGAGACACCAAATAGCCTAAACAATCTTTAAAAAGAACAAAATTGGAGGACTCACAATTCCTGATTTCAAAACTTACTACAAAGTTACAATAATCACTGTGGGGAAGGGAGAGCATGAGGGACTAAAAGGAAACATAAAATAAAAAAATAAATAAAGATTAAATTGAAAATTAAAACTTAGAAAAAAAAAGAAAGTTACAGTAATCAAAACAGTATGGCCCTGGCATGAAGACAACATACAGAACAATGAAATAAAAAAGTGCTCAGAAACAGACTCCAATGCACATACACTGCCAAGCGATTTTTCAACAATGGTGCCTGCCAACGGGAAAGCACAGTCTTTCAACAAGAGTACTGGGAAAACTCCATGTCTGCAGGTAAAAGAGCAAGGCCGGACCCTCACTTAACACCACATAAAAAAAGTAATTCAAAATGGATCAAAGTCCCAAACATAAGAGCTAAAACTATAAAACTCTTAGAAGGAAACACGAGGGAAAAGGTTTGTGACACTGGGTTCAGCAATGATTTCTCAGATGACACCAAGGTGTGGGCGACACCAAAAAGAAAATACAAATTAGACATCACCAAAATTAATAACTTTAGGACTCAAAAGGTACCATAACAATGTAAAAAGGCAACCCATAAAAGGGGAGAAAATATTTGCAACTCGCACACCTGGGAAGGGATTAATATGGAGATTATAAAACTCCTATAACTCAACAACAAAAAACAGACAACACAATTCATTCACCCAAAGAAGATACACAAATGATCTACAGTGACATAAAAGATGCTCATCATCACTAATCATTTAGGAAAACAGACATTCAAATCCACCATGAGATACCACTTTAAACCATCAGGATGGGTATTAACAAAAAAAACAAGAAACAAGCATTGGAGGAAACGTGGAGAGACTGCAACGCTTGTGCACTGCTGGTGGGAATGTGAAACAGGGCAGCCACCATGGCGAACAGTGATAGAAATGGAATTAGTGTGCGATCCCGCAACCTCCCTTCTGGACAGACACCGGGAAGGACGCAGAGCGGGGACTCGGAGATACCCGCACACCGGTGTTTACAGCAGCGGCCTCCACAATAACCAGAAAGCGGGAGCAACCCAAGTGTCCACACACAGAAAATGGACAAACAAAGGTGGTGTATATACACTGTCCAATGGAATAAAATTCAGCCCTAAAGAGGAGTAAAATTCTGAAACATGCTACGACTTGAATGAACCCTAAAGACATGCTAAGTGAAAGAAGCCAGGCACAAAGTGAACTACTGTATAATTCTATTTATATGAAGTACCTAGAATAGTCAAATTCGCAGAGACAGAATGGAGAACAGTGGGAGCTCGGGGGAGGGGAGGAGGTGGCATTAGTGTTTCGTGGGTACAGAGTTCCCGCAGAGAACGATGAACACGTCTTGAGAGGACACGGACGGCGGTGACAGTTGTGCCACAATGTCAATGTACTTAACGCCACTCAACTGTGCACTTAAAAAGTCACAACGGTAAATTTTATGTCACGATTCCAAATTAAAATCACAAAGATTAAGACTAGAGAACAATCACAGAACTCTTTTGAGACAGAAATACTAGTCAAGTACTTGTTGATAACCCACCTGGCAATCCGTTTCATTCATAAAAAAGTTCAGTTCTACTCGTCCATATCTATATAGAGAGGTACAGGAATATATATCATGTAAAAATTTCCACATCATCTTCTTTTCATTTTTGGCTGGGAAGATTCCAACTACTTTTAAAGGAATACCTGTAAATACAAGCAAAAAATATCTGAATAAATACTTTATCCTTTCTCCTGGGATCATGTTTTATTGAGCCAAACTACATTAACAGACTATATTAATTTTATTTCAATTAAAACTAAGCCTCAACATGTTTCCTTGATATAAAACTTGGCCTCAGCACATCTGCTCGGATTATTTGTGTCCAGGCGTGAGGGGAAAGTGAGAGTCAACTTCGGAGCATCTGCCCATAAACTGTACAATATAAACCACACACAAATCTCATCAATAAACCATTGTTGCACTGCGAGAGAAAGCTGGCCAATCAGAAGGAAGTTGCTGTAGTGAATGACAAAAATCACCTTTTGACCAAGGAAGTGTTTCTATGGCCAAATCCTGCAGAAGCACCCGGGAGTCCACAGTGGGTCTCACTGCTCCAGAGCTCCCAGGGTCCAGTTTGAAGAAGTCACAGTGGACCACGTGTAGCTTCCCCCCCAGCTGTTTTCCTAGGGACTAAAGAGAAGCCGAGACAAAGTGTTAGGGAGGTTCAGTGTTATAAAAAGTGTTTATAACAATTCAAAGACCTACTTCGAAAAATAATTCTTATCATAAATATGACCACCTCAATAAAGATTGGTAAAACATGACTAAATATAGCCTAAAATTTAACAGTTAATACAAATCAACTGATGCCTGAAAAATAATAAAAGTACAACTATCTTCAGAAAAAGCCCAAAAAACAAACAAAACACCTTGAACAAATCTTCCTTATCCTTTTACTTTCTTTCCTTTATTCTCAGTGGCATCGGGAGCTGTTTGAAAAGCTCCTTCACACCAATCCCTAATTCCCGGGCAGCGGCCGCCTGCGGCACCGGGAGAGCATCTGAGAACACGTCTGAGCTCAGAGCTGTGATCCATCTACTGGTCATGGAAAGATGTTTCAGAGTCAACAAAAACAAGAAAAATACTACAGTGAAAGGCAGCTGATTCAAGAGAGTACTCCTTTTCTTCTTGAAGAGTTTAGTTAGTCCTTCAGCTAAGAACTTAGCTCACTGTGTGGGCCACTGTGCATTTCCCACCTAATTTTTCATTTGCTTTTGCAAAAGACAGACGAGTCTACAAGAAAGGCTCCCTGTCCACTGGAAGAGGTCCGATGCGCCTCCAATTCTGTACCGCCCTGATCCACTCACCCTACAGTAGTACTGGCGAACTCAGTAAAGAGAGCAAGCGTTAGCTACAGACTCCCATAACTTACTCTGAAGTTGCAAGAAATCGGTGAGGAGGGCAGGATGCTTTGATGTGCATATTTAGGCTCTCATGCACAGAAACTTCTCCTGGCACTTATCAAGGTTTCAACAAATGTGCGACTTAAAAGTTATAAATGAAAAATCTAATTTTTCTTAAGCATGTAAGTTCAAACTATAAATATTATTTAATTTCTAAATCTACTACATTTCAATGGTCACTTTCAAGAGGACCCTGGAAAAAGGCCAGTGGAAGGAAGCTACTGGGGGTGGAAACCATGCATTTTTGGTCTTGTTAATGCTGAGGTGCCCAATGCCGTGACCCAAGGGGAGGGGCCAGGTACAAAGCTGTAGACCTCCGCAGGGAGATCAGGACACTGATCCAGGCTGAAGATACAAATCCGTGAGTATGTGGCTTGTTGAAGGTAGTTAAACCCAGATGAGATCTCTAAGGGGCAGGTGCACAGAACCATGCTGAGGACAGAGTAACTTCAGAGTCTCATGACAAGGAGCTGAGACTAAACCAAAAACCAAGAAGAAAACCAGAGGGGTGGGGTTTCTGGAAAGCTAAAGAGAAAGAGCATTCAAATAATGCGTACCTTAAAAAACTGATTCAACTCTTACAAAGTATTCTATGTGTATAGCAATAAAATAACCTCACAAATTACTCAAGAATTATATTTTAGGTTTTCTAACTGAAGAAAGGTAATGTATTTTGGTTTGGTGGGAATGAAAAAGGAATGGATACTTTATAACTTTACACATTTTTGGTGTAACACCTGTCATTTACTAGTCAATAATTCAAACACAGTAACAGCCAAACCTCCAGAATAAATTCATCTATTAGTGAAATCACATTTTGGAACTCAACTTGATTGCATTTAGGATTCAAAATCAGGAAGTGAAAAGGTCAGGAAAAACAACTGTTGATTTCTGCGGGTCATTATGTTAGGCACTTTATTTCATCTTATTTAAGCATCAAGATCCTTAATAGGTGGGAATTAACATAGCTGATTTACATATGGGAAAACCAAGGCTCAGAGAGTTTAAATTTCTTACTTGCCAAGGGTCTTAAAGGTGAGAATCCCTGGGCCTGAGGCTCAGCAATGTTTGAAAAGACTATGCTTTAAACCTGCTGAAATAAGAGGCAGTTCATCACAGAAGCTGATGTCTCTTCAACTGACCATCCACAGCTAAGCATTGGCACGATAGTAGTTTTCACAGTTCATGGGATAGATCGTGATTAGTAGGGAACACAGTCTGTAGCATGTGTATCTCTACATCAGAGAGAGAGGAAAACAAACTGCACCAACTCCGAACACTATTAATGTGGAGTCCCAAGAATTTTACCAGGTCAATGGGAGGAAGTTTAAAGTTAGATAAAAACCCAGAGTCAAACATCATCCTTTGAAGTCCTTTCAGGTTTTAGGAGCACACTAGAAAACCTTGGGGAGGTTACAAGCATCGTCTGCTAAGAGCACCATTGTAACATCCCAGGCAAAGGTTTTATTTCAATGGTTTCTTCTCTTTTATTCTGGCAGATACATGAATTCGCACAAAACTGTATTGCAATGGCTTTCCACTTAACCTTAAAGATGGTGAGTAAGTGAAAAAACAGTACTGGAGGCTGAGTTCAAGTTACCGCTGGTCAGAGAAAGGACTGGGGGGTTAGAAGTAAATGAAAACCTTAACTGAGGCAAAAACTTGTATGCCTTCTTAAAAAAGATTAAAATAAAAGCTATCTTGTCTTTAATTTCCAAGTTGAAATTATAGATGGCTCTGTGTATGAAATCACGTTTCATGATCTTAAATCTTTGAACGATTTTGTGTTATTTTTCTCTTTAACTTTCTGGAATTCCAGCAGATGTTTAATCAATTAAATAACCTGGCTAAAACTCTGAATTTCTTTCAAAGCAGTCCACTGTAAAATAATAACTATCTAATGCACGCAGTTTTATTAATAAAGACACAAACAGCTGGATTTGGTGGACATTATCATAACTTTCTGTTATCAACCCGTACTTTTACAATTTACATGACTTCAGGAAATTGTCATAGAAAAGTGTTAGTTTCCTAAACTGAATGTACAGATTCATTAAGAAAGAAAGAGAAAGAAAGAAACAGGCTGAAATTGATGCAAGGATTTTCCACTTTACTGTTATGTGATCTTGTCTGCTACAAAACAGAATTCACTGAAAAGTCCATTTGAATGATGCCCGCACTCCATGCAATTGTGTCTGACCATACCAAAGCTTCCTTGCCCCCATACCGCTAAATCCAGTTTACAGAGTCCCATTAATTCGATCTGAGCACTCCAATTAGAGTCTAAGCTTGCAGAAAGCAGGGTCACAGTACAGCACAGTCTACTAAGACCAGGAAACAAGCCCAGAAACACCAGCTTATACACTTTGTTCAAAGTCACTCAATTAGTCTGTAGCAGAGTTACAAGCAGAAAACAAGTCTCAGAACTCCAATCTTTTAGTTATTCAACCATCACTGATAGAACGTTCTAGTCACCAGGGATGACTAGAAAGGGATTCTAGAAAAATAAATTGTGCACTTAAATTTACTTCCCTGAACCACTGCAGTGGGAACTGATGGAACAGTAAGTTATTTTTGGAAACTAAAAATAAACTTCCAGAGCCCTGGCCAGGTAGCGCGGCTGGTTGATCGTAGTTCTGATTTGCCAAGGCTGTGGGTTCACTTCACTGTCAGGGCACACACAAGAATCAACCAGTGAATGCATAAGTAATTCGACCAACGGATTGATGTTTCTCTCTCCCTCTCTCCAAACAATCAATCAGTAAATAATTATTTTTAAAATATACCTCCAAATGTGGAATAAAAGTTTTGTCACTTTCAAGGGCAATCACTCTGGCACCTCCTTGAATTAATGCTTGAGTCAGGATTCCAGGACCTAGTATGTTAACAGAACAGAAAAATTATTTACAAAAGAGACAATGTCTTTCAATATCAAAAAAGTTGTTTTACATGAATTTTCTACTTTTAATTTTTAAAGAATTGTAAATCCTCACCTGAAGACATTTTTTTCCATTGCTTTTAGAGAGGGAAAAAGAAATATCGATGAGAGAGAGAAACTTGCTTGCCTCCAGTACAAGTTCCAGCTGGGGACAGAACCACAGCCAAGGTTATGTGCCCTGACCCTGCCTTGAACTGGCAACCTTAGGTTTACAGGATGACGCTGGAACCAACTGAGCCACACCAGCCAGGGCTGCAGTTTTCATTCTTACAAACATCCCCAAAGTAGATATTATACTCCTTATATTTACATATATGGAACTGGGAATTATAGTCACTGGACTCCAACTACACAAGCGGTTCAAGGGTGCTGCCTGGCTTTGACTCCATTCAATCAAAGACTATAAAACCTATGCTCTAGTCGCGTTTCACCACATCGTCTCAAAAAAAAAAAAAATGTTGTCTCCAGCCTACCATTTAATCATGGACTATCCTAAACTGAACTGACTCCTCATGATAAGATGGTGTTTTAAAAAGTTATTTTTTTGCCCTGGCTGGTGTGGCTCAGTGGTTTGCTTGCCCGACTGTGAACGAAAGGGTCGCCAGGTTCAGTTCCCAGACTGGGCACATGCCTGGGTTGCTGGCCAGGTCCCCAATAGGGGGTGCTTGAGAGGCAACCACACATTGATGTTTCTGTCTCCCCCCTCCCCTCTCTCTAGAGATAAATAAATGAAATCTTTTTTTTAAGTTTTTTTTTTTAAAATAAATCTGGCGTTCTCAGCCTCCTGCTAATGGTCTAAAGGAGATTCACGGAAAGGTAAAACAAAAGTTCTTTTTTCGGGGAGTGGATTGGAACTATCTTGGGGAGACGACGGAAAAGAAGAGCATACGCTATCAAAATACTATGTGGAGTGCAAACTACTACAGAAATAGTTTGTAGTATCCACAAAACTATATAGGCAGCCTAAAGGAAGGCGCCATGTCTCATACGGCAGCCTACGAATGGTCAATAGAAGTTTGCAAAGGTGATGAACATCGGAGAAAAGGCAGTCCACGACGGACTCACCAGGATTGCATTCCAGGATGAGCTTGCACGGATCGTCTTCTCTCAGCAGAAACTGCACCACGGTCTCGGCCAGTCTTGGACTGGTTAGGTAACGCTTGGGCTCCACGCCGTACTTGGACGGCCGCGAGGGCAATTCTCTGAAATCCTGACCCGGCAACACCTGCGGGTGGAAGTCAGACAAACCCCGGCGAGCAACCACCGGGGCGTCCTTCCACCTCGCCGCTCCCGACCTCCAAATGCAAAAGCGACCAGCAACAGAAGCAGCTGACAGCTTCAGCCGCGGAGGAAGCCCAGCCACTGGAACCCACATCCTCACCCTCTAGGGTCTGTCTGTCCCAAAGTCATCCAAAACGTCAAAAAGTCGGCAAGCGCCCAACAGAGAACACCACGTGCAACATCTCCCCACCACCTGATTAGGTGAGGGCGGGAGAGGGGTGCGGAGGCAAACGCCGCAAACTACGCTTGCGAACGACCCCTCCCACTTGCCTTTCCCTCACTTCCGCTTCCGGCCACGTGCTGACGCTGGAAGACTGTAAGTGGACCGCTGAGGAGACGGACCATCCGGGCTGTGTACTCTATGGTCGTCCGCCCTCTGCGCGTTCTCTCTAGCCGCTCGCGCTCTATGCTCCGCGGTCGCCGGCTGCCTAGCCGGGAGGGGTGCGCAGAGGGAGGCGGGGCGAGAAGGCAGAGGTGTCTCCTCTCCCCGAGCGGCGGGAGACCTGAGCAAGATCTGTGACAGCTCGTCGGCCGCCATGTCAGCGAGTAGGGCTGCAGACAGCCCCGGAGCCCAGTGGTAGCCCTCATTTCGCCTGCAGTTCCCAGGTGAGGAGAGGGAGAGCGGGATGCAGAGAACTGACCGGCTTAAGGCTGGGTGCAAAGCCTTTTGGAGCCCCTCGCTCCTCCCGTTGCGCCTTCCTCCAGCTGCGCCTCCTCTGCCCTCTGGGTGAGGTGTAGCCCCGGTTCCCCACCTCCGCCCCCTCTCCGCTCCCTTGTTTTCTTCTCTAGCCTGTGTGGTCTGTTCCTGCGCATCGCGCCAATTTCTGCCTCCCTAAGGGGACGAGCGCCAGAAGTCGTTTCTCCCTAGACTCCCCCAGGAGCCTGCAGCTACCCCCCCCCCCGCCTTGTGCCTCTATTTCTTCCATCCTGCAGCCCACAGCTCGGCTGGCTCCCCACCCTGGAGCACCCTGGTTTCTGGTTTCCTGCTTACCTGTTCCCCTCCCAGCTCTCTGGTTGTCAGGAACCACCTGGTGTCTTCCTTCCCTTCCCCCCTCTGGGTCAATATGTCCTTAATTTTTAATTTGCGTGTTGAAAAGATTTAAAGTTAAGATTGGAAAAACATGCTATTTAAAAGCTTAAAATTGCTTTCTAAGCTTAAGAAGATTATGACCTTAGGATGCTTATTTTGTTCCCTGTGTAAACTTAGTCAAACATATTGTACTGTGGAATGCAATTTAAAAGACCAGTTCCAAACACTAAAAATAGGATGCTCTAATGGAAAATTTGGCAGTCTTTTTTACCCACTGGGTAATGTTAGAGGACTCAGTTCTTTGCAAGTGATTTCAGTGTTTAAGGATTATACTTAGAACTTTACCCATTACCCTTCCCACCAAGGAAGGAAATGCAGCCAAGCTACTCCCTATTTTGAAATATGTGCAATCCTTTCTGCTTACTGTATTGGGAGTCTAATTGAGCTTGGCATTTAAATACACAAGGAAAAAGTATTTAAGGAATGCATCATCTAGCAAATAGAAGCCTCAATATTATACTTAGCTGATAAATATCAAATGGATAAATAATTGACAGTCAACTGTGGCCTTTTTTGGACTATAAATTTGTTAGGACACCACAGAATTTAACCAACTGTTGTGGGAGCCCTGGGGATGCATTGATCTTAATTTCCTTAATTTTTTTTATGGGCAGTATCCCCACTGACAGTTTTCTAGTAGTAACTTTGGCATCCTCTGAATACCTGAATACCATCCTTTTTTGAACTGTCTTCTCCCTCCCCTTAAAAGATATTTCACAGATTCAGAAACACATCCCCCGGCCCCCAGAGCCCTGGAGACCTAAATATTTTTAAATCAAAGCAGAACGATGTCTTCCAGTAGAGGAAAATCTGATTCACTTGTAGGGCCGTATTCTTGAATTTCTCACTTCAGAAAATACTTCTTTAAAATACATTTTTTTTTCTTCATTTAACAGTAATCGTGACTTGTATGAACCTCATTGGCTAAAATACTACCCCTGCAGAAAGCTTAAAATAATGCTTTTTTATTTCATAATATTTGTGGACCAAAGGTAGCCTACTTGGCCCTAGAGAAACTGATGTAGTTATTTTCTTCTGGCTTTGGAAACAAGAATTAGGTTATGGTCATTATTTCCACGTTTACAGTGCTAATAACTTGTTTGTGATTGAAGGTGTTGTAATAATAGAGACTCTTAAGCATTTTGTTTCCATGGCCTCAGGTCCTGGAAATGAAAAAAAAATGTCCTTTTTACTCTAAAGATGAACCTTACAATCAGCTTTTAGACCTACTCTATTAGAAAAACTTGGTTTGTGTATTAACATCGTAGCTTTCTTAAAAGGTGTGGTTTTTCACATCCTGTGCTATTTTTTATTTTTGCTTTTTTGAGGTAATCTTCCTTTCAGATGGTGTCAGCTAAGTGATCCTGCTGATTATTTTTACACTCTTCTTAAGTTATTTTTATTACTATCTCAACATAATTGGTAGAGAAGGGGAAATACTGCTTTCTCCTCTGACTTTTAAATGACATTTGTATATAATTGGGAAATGCCAAAAGATAGCTGTTGTTCACTGTCAGGATAGAAAGCCACATGAGCAATTTAAAGTTTTCTAACCGCATGAACAGAAAAAAGAAAAGAGTGGAATTAATTTTTACTAATATATTTGATTTAAATCTATGTATCATTTGAATCTGTAATCCATTTGAAAAGTTAGTAATGCGATAATTTCACATTCTTTCATACTGACTCTGTGAAATCTGCTGTGCGTTTTAACTTACAGTGTATCTGAAATCAGACTAGCCACATTTCAAGTGGCTGCAGGTCACTGATGGCTAGGACCTCAATGGACAGCACATTTCTCTCACTGTGTGATTCTTTAGATGTCTTGCCCTGAGAGTCAGGTATATTCTATAGCATAAATTTAAAAATCCTTTTCTTAAAGTGCCACTGCATTCAACCTGAAAATGTCTATGCAGGAAGAAGGTTCCAAGAAGTCTCTTCCTCTTGGTGTTGACTCTGTTAACAAAGGGAGGTAAACAGGTGTCCAGCGCCTGTCTAGTGAGGGTCATAGGATGACAGCGGGTTCAGTCATTTCCTGAAGTGTCATTGTTACATTCATTTGCGTGTGTGTGTCAACAATGTGTCAAGGCCTTTGGCTACTGTATCCATCACTAGTAAGCAGAAGCTAAGGACCTACAGAAAGTTTGAACTTTATGGTAAACAAACAGGTGGAGTACCTGCTGTTGTTAACTTTTCTGAATCAAGTTCAGGTATAGCTGAGAGTTTTGTAAATGCGCTTCTGTATACCACGGTGTTCCTTATCAAAGGAAAAGATAAACTCTTGAGCAAAATTTTTTAAAGGAGAGGATCTGGCTTTTGGCTGTAAAACTGTGCGTATGCGTAGTAGTGAGAGTTACGTGTGTGTGGTGGCTTAAGGGAAATTTAAAAGGAAATATGGCTGTTTTTATAGAAAGCTACTGACATATTGGCAAGATGGGGGCTTTAAGTTCCTTTTGCACCAGAGGTGGTGATTTGCATGGGAACTTCTCCTTTCAGAGCTGTTAGAACTGAAGGATAGGAAGGTAACCCTGCCGCTAATCGACCTCAGTGGGGAGCCGTAGGGACCAGTCATGGTTCAATTTTGACCTCTGTACTCTAATAAACTTTCCTATTACTTTAGCTGCACTATTTTACATATGTATTTTTAATGTCAAATTTCATCTGAAGGCCTAATTAGTACTCAGTGTAATGTAATAGAAAAAACTTCCCCCCTCCCCAACCTTTGTGCTACAAAGACATCTTAAACTACCTCGGTAAACAGGCTTCCTCTGTAAAATCTAGTCTTCACAGGCCTGGTGCAGTGCTGGGAGTGTGTGGGGTGTTCAGGGTCACGGACAGAATTGGGCAAGTGGGCAGTCACTGAATGTTGCTGCTTCCACGGGAGAGACACGCATGTTCTGTTGGCTCATACAGTGTTTTCATTTGTATTTAAATGGCTCTCTGTTGACAGCATTTTAGTTGGATAAGAAAGAGAATAAATTGTTTTGTTCCTATGTTAGTCTTAGCAATTTTTTAAAGTTATTTAAGGAAGAATAATTGATAGTCTAGCAATTTTTCATTTTTTTAAAGATTCTATTTATTTATTTTTAGAGAGTGGGGAAAGGCGGGAGAAGGTGAGGGAGAAAAACATCCATATGTGCTTGCCTCTCATGCTCCTCCTCCTGGGGACCTGGCCTGCAAGCCAGGCATGTGCCTTGAGTGGGAATCGCATCCGGGACCCTTTGGCTCACAGGCCGACATTCAGTCCACTTCACCACACCAGCCAGGGCCAATTTTCAGTTAAAAAAAAAAGTTCCAATACGATTTAATTGGCCTCTACAAGGCTAATATTTTTATTGAGAAATTAAGCACTCAATATGCCTGTGTTACGGAGCATGCGCTCCGATTAGGAGCCCTTAGGATTGACATGAAGACAAGCTTTATTTAGGAATCATTTTCTTGAGGGAAATTATATTTCCTTTAAGCAGGGAATACCTTTGTTTTTCATGCATTTGAAATAATGCACGTATAATATTCTTTAAAGAAAAACATCATCAGTCAGTTATACCTCCATGAATGATAAAAATCATGTCTGAAGAAGAAGCATCATTTAAAAATTCTGATTCTTACACTAACCTGAGATTTCTTACACTGTTTCGTCACAGTTTTGACATTCTGCTCTGTGACATATTTGGAGATGGAAACTTATTGCCACCATAGCAGGTCCTCCCTGCCACCCTCAGGTCTTCCCGTTCTTCATCATCAGTAGCCACGTGGAAAGGAAACTGTGCGTGTGTCTGTGAAAATACTCACAAATTATGATTTTTCCCTTTTAACTCCCCTTTCAGAAAGAATTCAGAAGCAGTGAGTGACAAATTTAGTCACCTTTGTTGACATTTGGGCATTTGACGTTTTAATGAACAGTACCTAGGAGACTTTAGGAATTGACAATATTTTGTAATTGTCATATGTATTAAATTCTTCTGTGAGAATACTTTGCCTGTTTTTCCTGGAAAAGTAATACCAGATGAAATAAATACTGTTTTTCTACGTGAGTGACCTTTTGCAGACTCAGTGAATTAGGTGGCTGTGGTTTTATAATTTGAGAGTGAAGGTAAAAACAGTTTAAAATAATGTTTATAGTATAGATTTTAAAATGCTTTATTTAAAAATACGTGGGCTCTATTGTAAAGTAAAGAATGCTATTTCTGCATATTTGTGAGGATACCACTTATATTTGTGAAAATTTATTTCATTTACTGAAGCCTAGCAGAGAGTTAGGATTAGCTTATGAAGCACCAAAGATTACCTTTGATTTTTTTTCATTCGTGGAGAATGAAAACTTTTTATTCAAATCAGGTCTTACAAGGATCCATACCAAGTAAACAACAGAACTTCTTCCCTCGAGGTCAGCTTGGATGAAAAGAGGAATGAAGTTTGTAGAAACTATGCTAACCAGAAAATTATGAAATTTAGTTTCCTGGAAAAGACTTTATGTATATGCATTTGTGATTTCTTAATCCAAATTCAGTCATCG